GAATTTCATAAAATTATAATATTTAACAAAAAATGGGCTATGTTTAAGCGACTTATTAAAAGAATTGTCAAATTTTAATATTCGAGTTCTACTATTTGGAAATTTACGGATTTCGAAAATCAGTTCATTCTTCACATATTTAGAAACAAAAACCTCGGCCAGGGTTCAACGAAGTTTTGATTTAGGTGCAGAATTCTTGGGCTTTTCTCTCAGTGTACTCTATTCAAGCGTTGGCCAAGGCCATAAGTCATTTATCATGTAGTTTATTCGACTGCAGCAGCAACCATTTCTTTAAATATTTAATATCTAGTATCTATTTTGCATTCCTTGACTTTTTGCTGCGCTAACCAACAAAAGGCAGCGTAATGCCTCGCACTAATTAAAATGCGAGTGGCATATAAATCTGTATGGACATTTAGCCTTCAGGCGATGTGACAGTCGACGCCTGGTCCAACCAAATCAAGGTCGTCGGCGCCTAACCAGGGACAGCATCATTAATTAGTAAACCAAGCACCCACACAGAGAGCAAAAAACAGTGTTCAGTTTATTGACTAAAGCCGCTTAACCATAAGCTAACTTATTTATGGATATTTAAAAATGGTTTACTGAGGAATTAAGAAGTAAATTTGGATTAAAGGCCCATGCGCTATAAGCATAATTAGTTTCTCGATTTCAAATTCGGATTGTTTTGGGCAAGTTATTTGGACTTGAAAAGCTCTCGAGTTATTTTTTTATCCATTTCTTTATCAAAATTAAATGGCTTAGGATAAAGTAAAATTTCAATTTTTAAATATTTTGAAAGAAGTTATTTATTTTTAGATAGAAAATTTTGAACTTGCATAACTTTTTCCAGTCAAAGCTTATATTCGGCAAACCTTTTTATTATTTTTTATCTTCACTATTTGTCTAAATTTTATTCACAATTATTTAATTGTGAATAAAATGATTATCAAAGTATAGATTATTATTTCAATTTACATGAAATGCATATTTTGATGCTCTTTTCGCAAACCAAAGCAATTGCTTTTGAAGCTTTCACGTGCTTACTTCAGATATATTACCGACATGGTTATATCCCTGTCGAATAAAGGGTGACCGTTTCTGCTTTCGTTTCTCAGACTGTCGCCAGCTACTGTTTCCGCTTGACTGTCAATCAATTTACACGAATTTTTCCGGCCAACTTTTCACTTTCTCTCCACAGGCGGCAAGCCAATTTCATTTCAACTTTTTTGACACCATTTTGCGTTGGAAAACGAATTCATTTTGTGGCCAATTGACAGGGCTCGAAGAAGTAGGCAACGAAACGAGTTTTATGCTGCAAGTGTAAAAATAGAAGCTTCGCAAGCTTATGTTGTCTAGTTGTTTATAGGGGGCGTTACCCGTACCAATCCGATTGGTGAGACAATAGATTTTTTGTTACTATTTCGGGCATATACATACATATATATTGATAGTTATTTAGCTTGGTGCGCTAAATGCCTGCATTAGTGGCTCGTTACAGTTGCATGTTGCAAGCAGCTGGCAAATCAATCAAATTATCAAAACGGAACAAGTCAAATAGCCCGAGAAAAACAGCAGTTTTCAAGTTCACGAACGACAACTCTCGCTGTCTCCCTCTCCCTCTCTCTCTCTCTCTCTCTCCCTCTCTTGACATTGGCCGTGTCATCGAGGGCATGTGGCATGTCATAATGCAGTTATAATATGCCATTTTGACACAGAGCCTCAGCCGTTTTCTAGGCCCGCTCGATTGAAATTATGACATTTTGATGATTTTCTTATTGGTTTGTTATGCGCGCCTCTTTGTCAATCAATACATTTTTAGCCAAAAAGCCTTTAAAAGGCCAACACTTTAAATGTGACTCAAAGCCAAATAGCCCGTGACCTTTCTGGCTGCCTTAAACTTGTCCTTTGTCATATTATTTTATTTTTACTTTTCTCTGCTGAGAGTCAGGGCCGCAGCTTAAACCAATAAACTGAGGCGGCTTTTACACATCGTTAACAGCTCTTAACGGTTTGTGAGGAGGAGTGGGGGGAGGCCTTATGCCTTGGCAGCCTAAGGCAACGTACGTTACTTTATTGGATTAGCCGATAACAAGAGCATGTTGAACATGTCATGAGCTTTTCGAATAGCTTGCAGCACTCATCATAATTAATGTGAGAGGCGGATTATTACTTATGTGTGCTCCAAATTCAGCAAAGACTTGCTAGCTAGTAACAACTGCTAAACGTTTATAAAGAGTCTTTAAAAAAGGAATCTTTAGTACATCTTAAATTTTTAAATGGATATCCTTTGCACAAATGTCAAAGAAATTTAAATAGCCATAACTAATAATTCTACTAATCGTGTACCACGATTCTTAACCTTTTTTAAATACTATAGATGCATTAATATTTCCCAATTTTAATTCCCTTTTCAAGTGGCATCTAAACTTTACACAAATTTTAAGCAAAACCTATAAAAATTCTTTAAATGAGCGTCACTTCTAAACTAAACTTCTAATCACAATGTGGGATGAAATTCGTGATCATAAACAATTTTGAAATCAAAATGTTTCAGAAGTACAAAATTAACTCAGTAGGCCCTTTTCCGCTCTTTTAAACTGGCATTTAAATTTTACAAACATTTTTGCAAAAACAATTAAACACATCTTTGAATGGCCATAACTCATAAATTAATCCCAATTTGGGAGGGAATATGTGATTATAATTAGTAATTTTTTCAACTAAAATTCTGATAAATTCATTAATATTCCTCCGATTGAAATTCGGTATGCAAATCAGTTTTAAGTTATTGTTCCTTTTTAACTGGCATCAACATTTTTAAAGAGTTTTGGGAAAAAAAGTAACAATTTTCAACCGCAACTTGGACTGAAATTTGTGATCACAGTTATTTTTACAACCCATTTCCAATACGCCCATAAATCCGTTTATAATTTTTGGCAACTTACTGCTACAACTGAGTTGAACCTTGAAATGCAATAAAAAGTCACTTAAATTAATGTTGTATTTGCCACAGCTTTTCACGTGTGTTACTGACAAAATGTAAATATTTTTCTCTCATATATACCTTCCATTTGTGCTTATTTTTCTCTCTGCGTATTCAACTTGACTTCTGACAATTTGATGATGGATGAATACTTTTTACTCGCTTTTCAGCATGTCTTTGATATTATTCGCATAGTGTATTTTTGCCTGAGTAGTGAGTTTCTGTACTTAATTTAACTTTGCTGACATTTTTTTGGAATATCCTAACGAGCTCCAATACACACACGAATGTCCTGGCATTGGCTGTTATTATTTTTGGGTTCTCGGGCTGACATCTTTCTAGGTCAGAGCATCTAATAAGTGCATGTCAAAGCAGCTCAAGTGTCGAGCTGCTGATGGAGCTATTGATGGCATTCTGAGAAGATGACATGGTTGAGGCAAATACTTGCTAAGAGCTTAAATGGCTCTGGCAAGGGGCTAACGGAAACGGAAGCGGAAACGGAAATGACAGCAAAAACTGTGTGAGCGTGCGGTCAGCAAGTTCAGTAAATGGACCCAGCTGGTAGCATATCAAATAATATGTGAGCACAGAAAATGTGTGTCAAAAGGTGGGTGAGGGCGGTTCATATACAGAGGAGAGGGGATAGGGGTATTTGCTGATAACGTGTGGACTGCCATAAACTCATCAATCACGATGAAAAGTCCCAAAAACTGACAGCCATCAGAAAATCGACAAAACTTGAGCAGCACTTGGCGGGAAATTGTGTTGACCCAAACACAACCCCAATACAAAACGAAAAAATACAATAAATATATATGTAACTAGTGGTTGCAATGACATTGGCCATAAAAATAAAAACAGAACTAAAAACTTCCCTGTTATCAGTTAATTAATCGCAAAAGCTGAAAATCGAAAAAGTAAAAAAAATATATAAATAAATATGTATGCAAAATGCAAACGAAAATAGCAAACGGGTTGACACAGAGCCAGTCGCAAGGGAAATGGCATGTACAGTGGGAAAAGATGTGGAATTTGCAAGGCAAAGGGAATTTTGTTACAAATGGGAAATTTACACGCAATGTAAATTTAAATAACTCCTTTAAAAATATTATCAAAAATATGCGGAAAGTGTTTAATAAATGAATCGAATTAAATTGGCACCTAAATGCCAAAGCAGGAACTAATTAATTAATTAGCATAGGATTATTAGTTTGTCCCTGTCCAACAGATTTCTAAATTTTAACGAAAAAAACAATTAAATTAATTTTAATCAAAAGTTGATTATAAAAAAAATCGGTTTAATTTTAGATATGGATTAGGAATCTTGGGCAAGTTTGTTCTACAAAAAAGTCCAATTAATTCGTATAACTATATTTACATTTAAATAATCCTGTGACTTTCCAACTGTAAGTTTGGGAAATTTCAATGATGTGACTTTCCAACTGTAGGTTTGGGAAATTTCGGTAACAATTGGGATTCAGGCAAATTCGTATTTCAAAAAATGTAATATATTTCATATAAGTAAATTTTCATTTGAATAATGCAGACTTTCCAACTATGACTTTGGAAAATATTTTGTTGCCTATGGGAAATTATTGGGATATATTTTTTATGACTTTAAAAGATTCAAGATATTCATAATAATTAGAAGCGGAATACACTTATTGACTTGTCTTGTCATTATTTTTAAATTTGTTGTTTTGTTAGGCAATACTTTATATTTGCCCCTATTTTGACGTGATTTGCCCCACAGTCCAAATTGTTGTCGTTGTTCTTGTTGTTGCCCGTTATCGTCATATATCCAAATTTGTGTGCGACATGCAATGCAAATTAATTCAATGCATGTTATTTTTATCGTTATTGTGGGCTTAAAGCGGCCGGCATTTGTGAGGCGTCTTTTTTACTCGAGACCGAAAAGAATTGATTGGGGTTTGCGCTGAGTCATGTTTTGTATAAACTGTTGTTTTAATCGAAGTTTCTCTCTCTCTCTCTCTCTCTCTCTCTCTATTTGCAGTCTCAATCTGTACGAGCTGATCAAGAAGAATAATTACAATGGTTTCAGCATGAGTCTCATACGACGCTTCTGCAATTCGATTGTGAAGTGCCTGCGTTTGCTCTACAAGGAGAATATCATACACTGTGATCTCAAGCCGGTAAGTTGAACATATTTTGTTTAAATAATCTATGAAGTTGTTAAATGTAATTTTCAATTTGATAAACTAGGAAAACATTTTGCTGAAACAACGCGGCAGCAGCTCGATTAAAGTCATCGATTTTGGCAGCTCGTGTTATGTGGATCGCAAAATCTATACCTATATACAATCGAGATTCTATCGCTCCCCGGAGGTGATACTGGGTCTCCAATATGGCACCGCCATTGACATGTGGAGTTTGGGTGAGTATATATTTATATGTATACATAGGTCGTCGGGGGATCCGATTTTAATTAAAACACATTTGCAATGTGTCTTCTCTTCGTGCATTTGGCCTCGTTGCAATGAAAATGAATTTTTAAATGGTTCTCGTTCTGCATTTGGCAGGCAAATTTATAGCCACACACACACCTATAAATACCTGTAAATGCGTGTGTGTGTGTGTGTGTGTGTGTAGGTGTGGTTACATAGAACGTTTAAATATTTGATACACAGTTTTATAGCCACACAGCATGTGGCCGCCATTTGTGCTGCGAGTGCATTTAAAAGCGGGGGAGTTAGTCGCCTTTTTAGTGGGTCATGCGACTGACATTTGCCGTGTGTAAGGCGAGCCTTGAATGAGTTTTATGCCGCTTGTGCTTGTGAATGGCTGGCTTTACCATTTTTTGTACTTTCATTGACCGTTGTCGCTCAACAAATGTCGATGAATACAAATCGAAAACAATAGCATTGCTTCGACAGGTCTTTTAGTTCTGTTCAATTTGAATACAACTCTTCTGTTTTTAAATCCGACAAACCCAACGACTGTAACCACAATTTTGTGAGCAAAACTATGGAAAGCCACAAATCCATTATTTTTGTGTGAATGGATTTAGAAGAAACGGTCACTTTAAAAAATCAAGCAATTATTGCTTATGTTTACCTGGCACAAATTTTTAAAAAAATAGTCAGCCAAAGCTTTTAAAATCTTAACCTTATATCAACCAGCCAAAGCTCGTAGTTTTTTAACCTGAGAACATAACCTAAATATTCAAGATCAAAATTCTTTTCCCTTATCTTTAATATTTACGGTTTTTTTTAAGCGATTAAACTCGTGCAGTTAGAACCAATCTTTATCAATATATTTAAACCAATAAAAAACCGTTGAAACCAATGAAAAAACAAGCACAAATTGGTATTTTGTTTATTAATTATGAACAAACTCCAATCTCTCTGAAACACTTTTAATAATGCTTGCAAGTATGCTCAGTCAAACAGTTCAATGCAAAAAATAAATAAAAAAATAATTTAAATATAATTTAAAAGGAATACCAATTATTTGCATACTAATCCAAGAGAATATAAAGTTAAAACAAAAATATTCTGCTCATTCTACTTTATCATTTGGCAATTTCTTTAAGTTCCCAATATTTGTACCATTTCTAATTTTTGCCGGCTGTGCAGAATCATTTCCCTGCTTGAATATGTTAGGTTTTTTTTTGCAGCATGTCAGATTGGCTACTGGGGTCAACATTAACTCACGAGCAGAGCAAAGCAAACCAAAAAAATAACTGCGAACAGAAAAACAGAGCAGGTCTTGTGTGGAGCGATAAACGACAGCAAAAGTCGTGTATGCAATACACATACCTATGCACATATTTGCCGATTTCCGTTATCTACATATATACACACAGATCTACATATGTATGTATACATGTGCAACGAAATATTTGTGTACGAATTCCCCTTCGTATCGTCTGTTTACTCTATTTTCTGTGTGCCACTGAATTCTGTGTTAGTTTGACTCCAGCAGCCGTTTAGAGTATTTGCAAAATTTAAATTATATTCAATTTTATACACTTTCATTTGGTATATTCTTACATACATACATATGTATATTCTTTGTAACCCGAATATTTCAACCATTTTTCAAAAGTAAATACACTTTGCATGTTTTTCAGTTTTGGGTAAAATTTTAAAGTTTTTAATTGCAAACTAAAAAATTAAAATTCTAAAAGTTGACCCATTTTTAACAATCTAGCAAAGGCAGCCCAGTTTGCAAAGTCGCGTTAATGTACATTTGAATACAGAGACCAAACTTATTTAAAGCGGTATGCTCTGTACATCATGTGTAAGTGTGTACATACATACATATACATATTTGACGATTCCCTCTGTTTGGGTGTGTGTTTATTTATGCACGTGTGGGACTGCTACACAGAACAAAATTGTATGAGCGGAGAGCGGAGAGCAGACGAAAAAACGGCGCTCACAGAAAGTGATGCTTAGATCAATAAGCAGCAAGAATATTTCGTAAGAGCGCGATCAATGTAGATAACTCAAAAGCATGCATACACATGTTTACATATTTGGCAATTCTCCCTGCATGCACATGTTTGTGTGCTTGTTCGCTTGGTTGTTATCTGTATATATGTATGTACATATGTACATTCTTACTATGCATATCGTCTAAGCGAGCGTGTGCGAATTTCGCTCTTCGCTTTGTTTTAGTTTGACTCAAGTAGTCAATTGTTAATTGCTGCTTGAGAAGAGTTTGATGTTTGCAAAATGTGCAGCAGAAAAGAACGCGATCTGTATGTGTCCGAAAAATTCAAACATCGTACCGTATTTACCTGATCATATATTGTATAATAACATAGAAATATAAGTTGCCGCATAACTTATTGGCATGTTAACTATACGGCTCTAACTAACTCAGAAGAAAGTTGTGCAGGTTCAACGCTGACTCAAAAACCGGCGCACAGAAATTAGAGCAGGAAGCGGTCGTAAGATGAATTCGTACACAAGCAATTCCTATTTGGACCAATCAGCGATAAGCTCGTGAGCGCAATGCATTGTAGATAACTCACAAGCGCACATACACATATTTTGCATTTACTTGTTGGTGTGTGTGATTTCTTTGCTGTAAGTGCGTGTGCTTTGAATTCTAATGTCTGCACATTCGTGCTGCTATGCTCTGAGTGCATAAGTCACCTTTCTCATGCTTACGCTCTTTGTGTGGCCACACAAATAACTCTAAGTTGAATTTCAAAATCAAATCAATCAACAGCCGCCGAATATGTGCGCCTGGTATTTAGAGATGGCACTTTTCGTTTACTAAAAGATCCGGCCGTGCCTGCCATCGTCATAAGTAATAATTAAAGCAGCTCCGAGTTTCTGCAGAGGCAGATTTTATAAATTACCAGTTGAGTGAAAATTAAATGATGTCCTCAATTTTTTTCTGTACTCCGTCTATTTTGTCCGCAAAAGACCTACAAATTTAAACAAATTTAAAACAAATCGAACACAAAACATTAGAAATTTTTTAAATGCTTTAAACGGCCACTGGGCTTAAACTAACACAGAATTAAGTGGCGCACAGAAAATAGAGTAAACAAACGATCCCAGTGAGAATTCATACATAATCAATTCTGGCTTGGACCACTGAGCGGCAAGCAATAACAAAACTTGTAATAACAAATAGCAAAATAGCAATAACAAAAGTATGTAGATAACACCAAGGCAAACACACACCCAAACAAGTGCATGCAGATGAAATCGCTAAAATGTGCATAAGTATGTGTATATGTTTTCTTGTGGGTTATCTATTTATGCCTCGCATTCACACGATTTTGCTGTTGCTTATCTCTCCACACAAGACCTGCTATATTTTCTGTGCGCCGACTTTTTTGTTCGTCTTGCGCACTCGCAACTTAATTTTGTGTAAGCAGACTTACGGTTCTCCACAGGCGCAAATTGTTGTTTGCTGTGAATACTACGCATGCTTAATGTTAAAGATATACTTTTAATATTTTCAAAGGGCTATACATCAGTTAAATAAATTTTAATCCTGGAATACCATTTAAGTATCAATTGAAATAGAAAAAGGATCAAATAGTAATATAAGCTACGCGGTAAACTCAAATTACAATATACATACATATGTATGTATATATATTAACTGACTTAAGCGACAACAACTCACAGCAACTCAAACTAACACAGAACAAAGCTTCGCAAGTTCAAAGCGGACCAAAAAAGCAGGCGCACAGAAATTAGAGCAAGCAAACGATCGCAAGATGAATTCGTACACAAGCAATTCGTATTTGGACCAATCAAAGATGATCAACAAAAAAAATCGTGAGCACAATTCACAGTAGAAGATAACTCACAAGCAAAAACGCACACCCATATGTATTTCTTTGCTCTGAGTGCATTTACTTTGTGGTTTATCGTCTGGGCTTGTGTGGGCTGATGTGCTCTGAGCGCAAAAGTCAGCGCACTCATGTTAACGCACTCAGTGTACACACACACATATACAACAACTGCCGACATTGTTCACTTGGCGTTTGGACATAGCAGTTTATGTTACGTTATGACAGATTTTGTATATGCAGTCAAAGCTGCCCCGCTCATGGACAAAACAGTAGCCAAGAGAATTGGTTCCCAGATGACCCAGATATCCTTGGTTATTTCATAACAAGGGTGTAGTCCTGGCGAACCTAACAGGCCAAAATGGTCGAAAAATATGTATGATTTTTCTTTCAGCCACCCACAGCAAAAGCCCCGCCCCTTGATGGTTCCTGGTTGACTGTCATATCTTTGGTTATACCATACCATCGTTATAGTCCTTGGCAACCTAAAGGATCAGATCCCTGCAAAATATGCTTCGAAATGGTCCAAAAACATGTATGCTTTTTCTTTCAGCAGCCTCTGTAAATGAGCAGCAGCTGCAGCTGCTAATTAACAGCTGACCTTACAGCACTCGTTTTACATTAACTGCTGTTTAACATAACTCATTTTAAAAGAGTTACATTTTTGGCCCTCACGCGTATGCAACGAAAATTTTTATTCGAAAATACTCGTCGACCTTCTGAGCATTTCTGTTCGCCTGGTGCTTGAGCGGAATTTTAGTCAAAATTTGGGACCCAGCCGCCAACAAGCGCGACCCTTTTGGGTATGCAACAGAAATTTTTCGGCGGCTGAAAATTTTTGTCGACCTGCTGGTAATTTCTGTTCGCCTGGTGTTTTAGCAGAATTTAAGAAAAATCTCGGTAGCCAGCGGCCGCCAACGGACGCCCCTTACTGGTATGCAACAGATTGAAATTCCGTATCCCTTGGAAGTAAAAAAACGGGAAATTGTTTGATAATTATTTATTTTTGTTAATATTAACAAATTTGTTGTTTTATGCATGTATTTTCGTTTTTACACTTCAAATGGCTATATCAGGCTTAAAATACGTCCGATCCTGGAAGGATTAGCCTCGTTAGATTCGTAAAAGTCCTTAGAATGGATTAGAGTCCTTGAATCCTTTAATCTGAAAAGATAAAAACACATTTGAATCAAAAATGTCATAAGAGAGATAGACGGGTATTTTGAGGAAAGAAATAGCCATAACTCGGCCATATCCTTGCAGATTTTCGAAGGACATGGTTCGTTAGGATCGTGGGGCTTAACTGCATCGAACTGCATCAAAATATTAGGGGGTCATCTAAGAATCCTGGACTTGGTAATTTTTCAGTCGCAGGCCGCAAGGAAAATTGCGTGAAATCATCAAATTTCAGTAAAATTGCGATATTTCTGAAACTACAAGGACGATCTTTATGTCCTTTGGCTAGTTGGTGGGCCTGGTCAGTACAATTTTTTTTGGCACATGTCCTGCCAGGATACGCAAGGATACAGCCGAGCTATGGCCTATTTTCTCTTTTAAAATTTGCACTTAAAACTTCGTTGTTTGAAGGACTTTCGTCCTTCGGGTTGTATATTCTTAAATGGTGGGGCGGGGACTATCTGCTATCCAAAGGACATCCCGATAGTTCTTGAAATGGCGAAGTTAGTCCCGAATTTTTCGAATTTTGGCCAGTTTCTGACTAAGCCCCTGTAAAAAATTGTAGTGAAATTTTTTGTCGAATCCTGGAAATTCTTGGATGCCAATCGATAGTCCTGCTCCTCACGAGTTCAGAAAGGTATATTCTTTTGATATCCTTAAGGATGTGGCCGATATATGGCTATAAAAAGAATGTCCTTTTTAGAAAAATAACCATATTTCTGCAACCAGAAAGACGATTTTTATGTCCTTTGGTCAGTTTGTAGTCCTAGTCCAAACAAGTTGTTTGACACAGGACTTGTCAGGATACGCAAGGATACGGTTGAGATATAGCTATTTCAATGTCAAAAACCTATGTCCTTATATCTTGGCTGTTGAAAGGACTTTCGTCCTTTCAATTATATTTTCTGATTGGACAAGACAAGGACAGTTTAATAGCCAAAGGACATGCCGAAAGTTTTTGAAACGCCCAAGCTATGGCCAGTTTTGTATTAATATCCTTTTTAGGAAAATAGCCATAACTCGGCCATATCCTTGCAGATTTTCGAAGGACATGGTTCGTTAGGATCGTGGGGCTTAACTGCATCGAACTGCATCAAAATATTAGGGGGTCATCTAAGAATCCTGGACTTGGTAATTTTTCAGTCGCAGGCCGCAAGGAAAATTGCGTGAAATCATCAAATTTCAGTAAAATTGCGATATTTCTGAAACTACAAGGACGATCTTTATGTCCTTTGGCTAGTTGGTGGGCCTGGTCAGTACAATTTTTTTTGGCACATGTCCTGCCAGGATACGCAAGGATACAGCCGAGCTATGGCCTATTTTCTCTTTTAAAATTTGCACTTAAAACTTCGTTGTTTGAAGGACTTTCGTCCTTCGGGTTGTATATTCTTAAATGGTGGGGCGGGGACTATCTGCTATCCAAAGGACATCCCGATAGTCCTTCAAATGGCAAATTTAGTCCCAGATTTTTTGATTTTTGTCAGTTTTGTGACTAAACCACTGTGAAAAATTTTAATGGCATTTTTTGTGGAATCATGCAAATCCTTGAATGCCAATCGATAGTCTTTCTACCCGCGAGCTCAAAATGGTATATCCTTCCGATATCCTTATGGATTTGGCCGAGGTATAGATATTAATAGAATGTCCTTTTTAGAAAGCAAGCTATATCTGTGAAACCATAAGGACGATTTCGATGGCTTTTAGTCAATTTATAGTTTTAGGCGAGATGAGTCGTTTGTCAGAAGATGTGAAAGGATCTTTAAGGATATGTCCGTGTTTTGGACCTTTAAAAGGTACAAAAGAAAAGTCCTTATATCTTGACTGTTTTAAGGACGATCGTCCTTTTCTTTGTATACTCAGAATTGGGAAGATGTGGGCTACCTACAAGCGAAAGGCTATTAAGATTGTCCTTGAAATGGACATGCTATGAACGATTTAGTGATAAATGTCCTCATTTTGGAAAAATAGCCATATCTTCAAAACCACAAGGATGATTTCGTTGTCTTTTGGTCAATTTATAGCCCTAGTCGAGACGAGTCGTTTGGCAGAGGATGTGACAGGATCTGCAAGGATATGTTCGAGTTTTGACCTTTAAAAATACAAAACAAATGTCCTTACAGCTTGGCTTTTTAAAGGACTTTTGTCCGACAATACAATATTCTGTTTAAATTGTGCTGTGGCCAGTTGATTTAGTTGAGTTATTACATATTTTCTGCACAGAAACCTATCTTCCTATCTAGGCTGCCCGAAAGACTTTCTTCTTTTTCGTTGAATATTGTAAATTGGAAGGACAGGGACAATTAGGTGGCCAACGGATATGTAGATAGTCCTTGAAATCGCCAAGCCAAGGTCGATATCGATTGTATATTGTAAATTGAGAATATACGGACTTTTTACTGGTCAAAGGACATCTCGATAGTCCTTTGTGATTTAAGGAGAAATTTTTGTTCGGATACTAAAAATCTTCGAGTAGCCCTGACTCCCAAGAGCTTAACAGAGATTCCTTCCATTCTCTTCATATCTTTCCTATACATATAAAATACCTTTCGCTTGGACATTTTTTTAAGTAATTATAATCTTCTCTAAATTAATTTTTAGGCCTTCCCTCACTTGGGGCTTGGCGAATCGAAAAATTTAAATCTTCCTTGATAATTTGTTAAGTTTGCATTTTTCTCTTGATCTACTTTCATTTTACCCATACTACTAACTCAAATATAAAGTAAACAAAAGCGGTGGCTCGCCCCTAGCTGTGAAGAGTTTTACATTATTCGACACGTAACCCATTTGGCTGTGCGCACAGTAGCTCACATAAGTAAGCGCCCACATGAGCTGGCAGTCGTAAAGAAGTCAAGCCACTAGCTAAAAATAAACCCTAGCTATCTTTTATTAAACCACCCACACACACACATCGCCAATATCTCACGTACTGTGCACGTTTAATGAGTCTTTTGTGTGGAGCGCAGTGCTCACAATATATTTTTCCTTTTGACCGGACGTGGTCGTAGTCGGAAATGGCCGCTAAAAGGATGTGTGTGGGGGGGGGGGGGGGGGTGAAGGCTGCTACAGGAAGCAACGTTTCTAAGCGTTAAGGGGCAGGCAATATTATTGTATACATAAACTTCAAGTGGGCCTCACTTGTTGAGTGTCCATCGGCCCGCCTACTGCTCCCCTTTCCCCTCATAGAATATATCACAAGCTATCCCATTGTTCTAGCTATACGTGAGGGGCTTGGTCTGAGGGTCCTTGCCGCATGTGTAGCCTGTTGCTACTAATTGGCATAGTGCGTGTTTTTACACTTGGTTGGGCTGCCGTATTGTCTGGGGCGCAGGAGGGCGCCACGAAATTCGTGTGCAGCGATTGAACGTTGCCATTTTGCTGCGAAATACCGTAAAGGATAATGAGGCCTGGCAACCGGAGTGCACTCAGTTCTCAACTGATATGGAACTAATGGGTATACCAAAGAGTGTGTAGGAATTAATTAGAACTTGTGAAAGAGGTCATATGAATTGTTAAGCTATGCAAATTTGCTTGACGGACTAACTCTTCCGCTAATTGATGAACTGACAGGTGACAGGATGGACTAAGTTCTAGCCGGAGTAAATCCCTAGCTCACATCCCTTACTTAAGATCAATGCATGTGTTTTAAGAACCTTCTTACCAATTATCTTAAAATTATCAAAACAAAATTCTGCAACCGGAACCTCCTCCAGCAGTCGACAGTGATCCACAACAATACGGTCCTGCAAGCGAAAAGATTGTATATGAATAAAAGAGAAATATAATTAAAAAGGTTTTACATACAAATCAAATGAATCGATCGTCTCGTTTAGTTGTAAATTAAGAGTGACAAAATTGTACAGATTGATCCAAGCGAGAATTTTCTAAAACAAAATAGTTTTAAAGATTAATGGTAACAAAATGGGATAAAAGGTAGCATACATGCCAGTCTTAAAGTTTATTTTGGAACCTCCTTGATTAGCATTAATATCCTCAAGGGAACAGAGCTAAAAAAAAAAGATTTTATATTAATAAATTATGCACATAGTTAAATAAGATATAAGTACAAACAATTTGCGAATCGATTCCCAGAATCTTGTTGTTCAGTTGTAGAATTTTAAAAAGATTGTTCGCAAACAACCTTTTCTGAATATAAGGGAAAATTTTAATATTATGGATATGGATGTAACATACAAAGTGTCAGCCAATTTCGAGATCTTCCTTGTTAAGTTGCAATAGTGTACATTTTATGGTACAGTGCCTCGCGACTGATGATTACTGCAAAAAAAGATATGATTTTATATTAAGGGCATGGAAAAGGTTATGAAAATAAATGGCATACATACAATAATGTGTGAATCCAACATTTAACCTGCTGTTTAGTTGCAGCATAAAGATCCTCCAAAAATACAAAGCGTAATTCGTGAATCGATCCTCGTTTTTATTAAGCAAGAGTAATAATTTCCTCAACGATAGAAATATTCTGAAAATAAATAGAGAGGATAGGAAATAAATATAAATACAAGTGTAAATCAAATATTTTGTAAATCAGTCAACAACTCATGCATGAATAATACGAAGGATAGTAATAGGGTTGACGCTTATAGCTTGGGAAACCAATATAAATAATAACTTAAAAAACGACCTAGTCCATAAATTTAATTTAGATATTGTTGTATGTCAATTGGAAACTGCATCAGTATTGCGCTGAACTTTTCAACCCCAAAACCAAAAGCACTTAAGCAATTTACAGCGGCAAATAAATAATAACCCAGTGGCTCAACTGAACTGCACTGAAGTGTACCCTTTGGTCAAGCTCAAGCACGTGTCCAGGGCAAGGTCCACAGTCAAGGTCAATGCGCTTCTTTTGACAGTCCAAATGACTGCAGCCAAATGAGAGGGACTTGAATTATACCAAATGAAAGTGGTGCAGGATGTGCGACTGGAAGTTACCCTGTACCGAGCTCCCCGATCTATTTGAAAAGAATCGACATGTCCGACATGTTATGTTGGGAATTTTTATACTCATCGAAATCTTTGTACAGCTGCAATATACCCCATTTGCAAAGACTACAGGGTAGTTAAATCAATACTAATTTCGCTGCGATTTCTCTATTTTTCATTGCAGGCTGCATTTTGGCCGAGCTGTACACGGGCTTTCCGCTATTCCCCGGCGAGAACGAGGTAGAGCAACTGGCCTGCATTATGGAGGTGCTGGGTCTGCCCCCCAAGGTGCTCATTTCGGTGGCGCGTCGCCGTCGTCTGTTCTTCGATTCGCGTGATGCGCCACGCTGCATAACCAATACGAAGGGGCGAAAGCGTTCGCCTGGCAGCAAATCCCTTTCACAGATTCTGCACTGCCAGGATCGGTATTTCATAGACTTTTTGCAGCGCTGTCTGGAATGGGATCCTGCGGAGCGCATGACGCCCGATGAGGCGGCCCATCATGAGTTCCTGCAGCCATCCGCATCGAGTCGCCATCGCAGCTGCCGCATGTCCACAAGCTCATCGAGCTCGGGTCTGAACAGCGTCTCCCAGAAGTCCTCCTGCTACAATTTTGCAGAGATCTCGCCCGGCAATGGGCCAGTTGTTGCATCTATCACGAGCACCACAGCCGTCAGCAATGCGGCCATTACGACCAAGTCAAACAGTTCACGCCAGCCTCATGCCCATGCCCACGCTCACGCCCAGTCGAATGGACACCTGCCCGACATCAAGCTCAGCGCCAGCGACAAATACAACAGCATGCAGAAGGTCGCGGTGCGTTCGAAGATCACGTCAAGCGTCTCCGATCTGGAGTCGGTGCAGCAGTATTCGCTGCATCGCATCTACGGCGGCGTTGGCAGCGGCAGCACCCATCATGTCTCCTCGGCGGCCACCAGGAAGCATCTGAATGGCAACACGGGCGGCAATGCCACCAACAACACTATCGGCAGCAGCAGCAAATACGGCAGCACCACGCTGGCGCACAACCACCACAATGTGACGCATCACAATGCTTCCACGGCGACTATTGCCACGGCCACGCATAATCATCATCATCATCATAACCATATCGTTGGCGTTGGCGGGCAGACGGGGGCCGTCGGCGCTACAAATGTGGCCATGGCACATTCACAGTCGACCGGCGATGTCTCGGACCGGGCAATCTTTGGGCGTGCTTGACTTCGGGCGCGGCCCACCAAGCTGGAGCTCAAGAAGTGCAAGCTGGTTAATATGATGGACTTCTGGAGCTAGAAGTGGCGTCCACAGCATTGCGCTGCCCTGCGGGAGGAATAGCTGCCGCCGCTGTTGCTGCCGGCTGCTCCAACCTAAATCTAGCTATAACTGTTATATAAGCTATACATATATATATGTGTGTAGGTCTAAAGCGTTTCTATATGTATTGTGTATTGAGTGTGTCTCTTTCCGGTTGCAAAAAAACACGAAATATATACATATATAGTTTTATGTAGCCGATATATAATTCTAGATTGTGTATGTGCGCCCGCAACACACCCAAAAACACACATACACATACACACACACACTTGCAACACTCTTGCAGTATTCTCAGTTATTTTCTCTGATTTTTTTTGCTACTGCCATAGCTAAATATACATATATATCATTATATATGATTGTATTCCCTAAATGTATTTGTTTCCCTAAAGTATTCGCTAATCCACAACTTTTGCCCTCCATTGTGCAAGCATAAATTCAAACGTTTTTTAACACTGTTTCATCTGCATGCATGCAAAACCTGTATTCAACACGAACAAATGATAAATAACAATAATAATAATAATAATATAATAAACCTCCCAGCTCAAACGGAACAACATAACCTAGTTATATAAGAAATTTAACGATATATTATATCGTATACTCAAAAAAAAATCTGTAACAATTTCATACAGCTTCCATGTCTTTAGCAACAGTATCAAGGCTGTTATTAGTTACAAATATATACATTAATATGTATATTGTAACTATGATCAATAAGTTTCGGACATAGGTTGGAATGTTTCACAATCTATTTAAAGCTCAAATATATAACTTTTTCACTACTAAAACTTCACTGCTAGGGAACCTCATAGACCCACCAAATTATCAAATCGAAACTACCCTAGTTAACTATATAAATATATATAGGTATAGCCTCTGATAAACTGAAACATTCTAGCCCGGAACACACTTGATTAGGTTCTATAAATTGAGCGTAAAGTTTGACAACAAGTTAAATGTAAGTTTGTATTTTGCATGAGAGAATAAATAAACGGAACTGTTCAAGATTTCGATACCTCGACTTCGCGAATTTGTAAGGGATATTGAAAGCCAGAACAGAGCCGTTTAATTGAATATGCCCAAAACACTCACACAGTGCAAGTAACATGTCATAATATATAAAGATTATACACATATTTAATAAACTATATATTACGTAATTATTGAATAGAAAGGAAAACAACAACAATTTACGGCCAATACCACACAAAGCATGTGTAAGAAATATAACTTTAAATTCTATGTAAATCGTATTAATGGAAGAAAAAAAACAAACAAAATGTGAACAAAAATAAATACAATTTAAATATAATCACACAGTTGACAGTTGAATAATAAATGTTAGCAGTAACGAGCGGAGCGCGTACCCCAATGTCCCCCCTCTATGTCTATCTAACTCCCCCTCTCTCTAGACTGTCACGTGAACAAAGTTTGTAACGTACTTTTAGATATCACTGTAAACAAAATGCAATTTTTGCTCATGACTTTGATAATGTCGTACGTTTATAAGTATATACAATATCACGAATTAGCATAATAATTTTTGCCTATTTTATGTATTATTTATGTTGTTTACATTTCTCTGCCGCTCCTAACTACAACTATATAATTTTGTTCTTTAATGTACTATGCCTTTTTATTCAATTAAAACACAGTTAAGAAAAACAAAAAAAAACACGCAAAACTTTATTTACAAAGTGAGTTTCGAATTTAAAGTTTAGTAATAAATTAAAAACAAATACCGTTAATTATAAAAATATATCAATTTTAAATTAATGAATCATATTAAATGGTCTAGAAACCAGAAATAAATGAACATGTAATCAATACAATTACAATAATTGAAAATAAATTAAAAATTATGTACTCAAAGTGTTGCCAATCGTCTTTTTATGTCATTTACTTTACGGGTCAAACCGGACAATGAATGAAAACTTTCTGGGAATGCAGGAAGATTGGACTTTAAACCATAAAGATTTAGATTTCTGGGATTATGAAAATCATAAAATATTCTTTTCACTGAACTACTTGAGCACTAATTATTGGCATTTAAAAAGGCACACCTAACCAGCTAAGGGTTAAGACGATCACTGTTGTAAATTTTAAAAAATTGCATACTTTTTGGCATGAATTAAATTCCGATTTACATGGGAAATATTTTAGGAAATTAATTCTGTTTAGTTTTGGAAACGAAAAACTATCTTATACCTATAGCTACCTATAGCTATAGCTAGAAATGCGCTATCTTTAAAAAACAAAGTAAACATATACAAAACCTGCCTACCTCCTGCCTGGCGATATGGTATTCAAGTTTACGGTATTGCTGCAAAATCGCGCCTTACGAAAATCAGGGTGTTTCAAGAAAAAACGCTCCGTTATCTGTGTGGTGCCCCCTGGTATATGCGAACTTCCGATTTGGAAAAAGACCTAGGAGTGCCCGAAGTCGGGGACGTCATAAACAAACAGACTGCAAACTACATAACGCGTCTGGGAAACCATCCAAATCGACTGGCTAGGCGCCTTCTAAAGAGGCGTCGAATTGGAGGAGTCCGAACGCGGAGGAGATTGCGGAGGTCTCATCCAATCGATCTCCGAGATCGATATATATAGTCACCGTAACCTTGTTAATTTTATATTAGACTTAATAGTAGACTAAGTAGTATTGTAAATTTTCTAATAAATTTTATTTAAGTTGTTCTTATAATAACAGGAAAATTAAAATAAAGCTAAGTTAAATTAAAAAAAAAAAAAAATAGCTACCTACCAATTGAAGTCAATTAGTTGCCATCCTTAATTAACTTGTAATACACCATATATCATTTAAATATATGTATTCATATGTTTCTCACACCCATATAATTTAAAAGAAAACTTACCTAGTTGATCTGCCCGTCAATTACAGTTGGCTTATGATCCATGAACTTCATAAAAATAGTCCGTGCGATTTTTATAGTAACCCATCAGTTAATTCGTGCACCAGTTTCCACTATAAATACATGTTAATCAAATGTGTTTTATTATATATAATCAAGATGTAGCTACCTCTTCCAGTTGTTGTGCGTCTATTGACGTTTGACACCATTTGTAAAGCCCTCGAGGCATCAATTTATTAATTTAGATTTCGCTACGAACTCTTTTTTTTCTAGTTGCATAAATTATGCAATATCCGAATTATGAATGTGTTTAAGGTTTGGGCATTTAAATTGGGATTTGGGTAATAGCCGCACGTGTGTGTGCTGTTTCTGTAAAAGATAATTTAATTAAAATGTTTATTTTATTGTTGGCATGTAATTTGGCAATTAAGGAAATTAACGAAAAGAAATTGAAGCTGCGCACAACTGTACCGAGTGTACTAACAATTGTTCAAAATATTTTATCAAATGTTTGACGGGCCTAAAAGTTCAGAAAAGCTTTTCACTTTTGATGTGTGCAGCACTTGACGAGTGTTGTGTGGGGGTCGCTGTCTGATCAGCAGAGAAAAAGACGAGAAAGTGAGAATTCTAAGTAGGAACCCACTCAAATAAATGCGTATATGACTTAATTCCGAAACGCCAAGTAAATATGTGTTGAAAATCTTCATTCTTGAATGGAAAGTAAAAGTTGCTGCAGCAATCGTTGATGCAAACCAAAAAAAAAAAAAAAATAAATGTAATAATAACAATAATTCCCATTGAGCGCTTCGAGTGATAAGCGCGGCGCGTAAGTCTCATTGAGTCAAAGGTTTATTGACGCAAAGTTTTAGCCACAACATCATCTTCTTCTTCGACGATGATCTTCATGATCGTCGTCTGGCAGCACTTGTTGTTGCCGGGGCCAGGTCGGTTGTGCTTCGGTTCGGGTCCATGGCAACTCGAAGGCCGTCGCTTCTTTCTGCCTGCTGCGACTCTTCTTTCATCTTCTTTTTTTCTTGGTTTCGTGTTGATCATTCGTCGCAAAGGTGAAAGTCTTTCTCCCTCCAGCATTTTGTTGTTGCATTTGTACACACAGCATTTAGTCTTGTTTTTGTGGGGATTTGCCGATGTTTTGATTTCTGTTGTTTTTTGTAACTTGGCTTCGGCTTTGGATCTGTGACTTTGCCTTTTGGTAATCTCTTGCACAAATATTGCACAGCTATTAGGCATTTGCCAGCTCGATCATCTTTAAGGCCTCTGGCAGTTGTTGGCCTATGCCAAAAATTAAGTTATTCTAAATTGGCCGCCTTCAACATATTCCCACACTTGAGAAGAAACTCTGCTTGGTTAGGTTTATCTCAAGTACGAAAACATATAGTATTATATCATCTCAGTTTTATCTGCAGCTAGAGCACAGCTTATGACGCATTTAAAGGTGGAGCTCGCCAAAAAAAGGTGTATTATATTTTATGGCAACCATGCTATGCTCAAGTGTCACGTCTCAGAGAGGTCAATATGGCAATTTTGGACTTGATGGAAAGCAGGCGTAGATATACATGCCAAAAATTATATACATAACGAGCTCAAGCCCAGGCTTACATACATTGTGTAGAAGGTACTTTTGAAGATCAACAAATTAAATATTAAGGCAAATCCTTCGACATGGGATAATGGCAAATGGCAATAAATTTTAAAGCACTGGCAATGATATGTTATGATATGAAACGAATGTTATTCTAAATAAAATAAAAAACGAGGTAACCGAATGTATTACACACATATATAACAGCTCAAACTAAATGAAAGAGTTTTCTTGCTTATGTAGTTAATAACTGTAATGTTTTAAACCGCTATTAAAATAAGTGTACTGAGGTAATATTAGTAATAGTAATAGTAGGCAGTGCAATATTTTTGGCTCTGAAGAGGAAGTCGTTAGTAGTTCATTAACCAAGATGGGCAAGAAAAATATTTACGCTTTTAAACGTTGTGATCCGAGTATAAAAATACTGGAAAAAAACTGATCGCTGCAGCGGTTGCCAATGTTGCTTGTAAATTAAATATATATAAAAACATCGTTTTCACATAGCCAGAGTTGCCACCAAATCTCGTAACTCTTTGTTTCTTTTGTGTCAAAAAGCAATTAATAGCTAACAATTTAAACAAACAATCGCATCATATTTTCAAGCTTCATAAGAAGCACTTGAAACAAATGTTGGAAAACTTCTTAGATTAAATCGACATTTTTTTTTTAATTTCCAAAGCCTGTCAATGTCCAGTAATTTAATCAGCGCTCAAACAAGCAGGTGAAAATGCGTTTTTGTTTGTATTTTCCACATCGATTTTAAAGTCATCGACGCTTTTCTTGCCAAGCGATCGCTGAACAAAGAAAGCTATCAAATAAAATTTAAGCATCGAACGGATACAAAAGAAGCAACGTCTCAAGTCATTGGACTTGGAACAACGTGCGGCATCATCGACAGCCACCGAATCAGTCAAATCAGCAGAAAGCCATTATCATTGTCTAACTATAGGGTCTGGGTCTGTCAGCGCCAGAGGAAACCTGATAAGCCGCTAGGCCGGACCGCTTATGTAATGCGGCGAGCGAGGCGGGTTTGGAGGTTCAAATCGGGGAGGTGGTCTGCAGCTTGAACCTTCTCTAGAATTGCATTGGGCATCGACTTAATAGGCCACTCGCTTAAATATTTTAAGTCTGTGTTTGGTTTGAAAGTGAAAATGTTCATCAATGAAAGCTGGCGTTGAAGTGTTTGGGTCTGCTTTGGAGTGACGGATCTGTAGATTAGTCGCGTTGCCGAATTTTTGTGGGTCCCAGCAGCAAATTGCTGCTTTAATTGCTGGAAAGCTGAAAATGCCATAATTTGGTTGCGTTTTGATAAGGTCCCCAGATTGGCAGCTAACTGGCCTGTTCAGAGTTGCACAAGAGGAAATCAATTGTACAATTAACTTTAGATCAACGATGGAGTGTACTTTTCAAAGGAAACTGTTAAATATTTGTAAAAATGCAACTATGCAACTGGAAAAGCGACCGCTGTAAGGAACTAGTGCACTGTTATACCGAACAATAATCTTATCAAAAAGGCGACCGCTTTCTTCGATAAAGCTCACTGATACTATTCAGATATCTTCCAAAGGTCTACCCAGATCAGACAATAAAATAAATACCAGCTTGATACTAGCGAAAAAAAGTTACTTATCATCATAAGGAACATATAAATGCTTCAAAGGTTTTTAAGTATCTCAATATATAAAACTATTTGTCCTGGCTGACTGACTGACTGATTGGTGATCAACGCACAGCCCAAAACGTAAGAACTAGAAGGCCAAAATTTTCACTGTAGTTGGCTTATGTGATAAGGGTGCACGTTAAGACGGTGTTTCGGGAAATTCCACCCGCATGAAACTTTTTGTTTACCATCCGATCGGTCTCACACTCATTTCCAAAGATCATTGTGATAATTTATTTGATACGTTCTTGGGCGGCAAATGCGGGTCAAGGGCTTAATAAACGAAATTTTTTTCTTCAGATCAAAGATTCTCACCGCAAGACTAACTTGGGCGAAAACAGTTGATTCCAAAACTTGGTTTTTTGATGTTTCACGAATTGTTTTAAATGGGCTGTTGGAATTTTTTGGGCCGTTTCCTGCAATCCTGTGGACTCGACTTTCTCTCAAGATATTGTTACTTCCGTAACCTTGATACATATAAACTGACATTATAAATGAATGAACCGCTTTAATCTCTCGCCAAGCCTCATCAATTCGAAACATCAAATATTTCCGATCACTTGATCAAGTCATGCTGTGCCTTCTCTTTATGAAAAACTAGACCAAATCAACCTGTAGCTATTATTCATCGATTTCGGGGTGTGATGTAAGTGCGTAATATGTTGATTAGTAGAGCGCCACATACAACCGAACACTGCGGGATCGCAGCTACTTCCCATTCCGAAACGGACAGACAACGGGTAGCACACATTAATCATCTACTTTGATAATTATGGTAGTACGAGAGATAAAAAATGAATCACTTTAAATGAGCCAGACAAATTGTTAAAAAAGAAAAACATAAAAGACACATCGTGGTGTGCATGGAATGCAGTTTTAATGAGTTAAGTACGGAATGTTATTGTTGGTTTTGTTGGCATAGTTGTTGCAGAGGCTATGTGACACAGGTCTGTAAATGGTAATGTTGATGTCTGCATTAATTTTTGGGCAGCTATTAAATGATATTTATTGTTTTAGACCCAATGCGATTCGTACGCCTTCAACTTGCGTTCTTATCTGCATTTCCGAGTACGCCAAGTTGAGGAAATTACGTGATTTCTGAGTATGAAATCGAAATCGCTGCAGATGGCATCATATTTGTCTAGCCCCATCTATTTCTGGTTTGATAAAGACTGAAACACCAAGAGCGAATTGCATTTGGAGGAAAAAACTTGACTTAGAGCATAACATTTCCTCATGTTGCACAGTTGAAGCCAAGCAACACTTTCTCTTTCAACAGCTGAAGCGCTCTTTAATGCTTTCTCTTTGCAAACGAGCGCTCTCAACAAATGTTGCTGCTGCTCGTGCAACATGCCAGCAACATGTTGCTGCGCTCATCGTCGCCGCATCACGTCGCGTAGCTAGCTTCGCATTTTTTTTGGCATCTTCGTCGCTTGGCTTGGCTTAAATTGTTACCAAACGCTTAATGATCTTCAGTTAAGCATCGAACTTTTACCAGACAAGTCGTGTCTGCGGCTTCCACTCGATTCCGCGGCAGCCACAGCCAACGCTTGCGGCATACTAAATAAAGCAAAAAGTAAAAAAGTTATACAAAAAAAAAACTAACTGCATTTGCATAAGGCAAATAGAAAACGTTAAATTCAAAAAACCCGCCAAAGCAAAAGTTGATTTCAGTTTTGTGTTTTTGTCGCAGTTTCAACAGTTATTTTAAATTTTAGAAACCAACGTTATCGTGTTTTGATTTTGAAAAAAATAGTGCAACGATATAAATCGATCAGAAATAACGCAATTTTCAACTTAACTGCAAATTGGAAAAACCCAAAAATATACTATATTAATCTTTCGAATTTGCGTGAATCATGCGAAATTTATTGGCACTTTTGGGCACTTTGTGCCTGTGGATGGTCACGGCGAATGCACAGGGATTTATTCCACCCAATGCTGGCATACATAATGGGGTAAGTTCAAAATAAAAATTGTAAATTAAGTGATTAAAGTGTTATTAAATACCAAAAAAAAAAAAAGAATCTTAAGAATGTTGCAAAAACATAAGTAAAGAATCCTTCTAATATTCGTAAATTTTCTTTAAATTTTGAGTTCCAAAATATA